CACCCCAAAGCAATGGAGGCTCCACTGGGTGGATACTTGCCGGCCCTACATATCCCATGATTCATTGCGCTTCTTTGACAAACAGTTTTTGACTGCACAAATTATTAATTTTAGTTTTATTTTCATCTTGTTGGTTGTACAGAGTCAAAAACGTTTTAATCTGAAAAGAGTTCAACAATTATATAAACACATTTATAACTTATTTACATGTATATATATACATAACGTGATTACAGTGAGACCCCCGCCTATTGGTTCAGTCCGAAAGCGACGCGTCCTCTGATTGGTCCACTCTCTTCTTCGGGACCTTTGACCTCCGGCGCTGACTTCCTGTGCAGCAGGTTGTAAACACGGACTGGTTCAGTGAAGAGAAGACACGTTCCTGAACTCTGACACAGTTCAGCCGAGCGCGCGACAGAAGACACAGAGGACACAGAGGACACAGAAGGATGCGGACTCTCGGCTGAAGCTTCACGGTGAGTGACGGAGGACGTTTGTCGCTAATTCGCTTTGTAACGCTGAGCTAACGGAGCTAAGCTAACCGGAGCTGCAGGTGTTTCCAGATGTTTTGGCAGCAGTTGACAGATGAGCAGTGATGTGAGGAGTCAACACATTGTTCTGTCGCTCGTGTGAGACACAGATGGAGGAGGTGTTCATGTGGAAACTGTCTTTAACCACAAATATCTATAAATATAAGAGTTGAGCTTATTCGATGAAGCATTGAGGTTTGTGTTTCTATATGAAAAGAGGATTAGATAGACAGATACTTTCTTTCTTTCAAAGCTGTCACTGCATAGAAGTAATGGAGATATTTAATACAATATTTAGGTATTTAAGGTTTGTGTTTCCTCCCACTTCCTCTCTGCAGCATGTTTAGCTGCCTCTTCGTACCTTATCTTCAGTCATGGCAGGAGTTTTCCAAAGAGCGTCAAAACTGAGGACAGCTCTGAGAAATCTGAGCTCCTGTGGAACCTTCTCATCTACAGCCATAACCAGACGCTCACCTGCAGACCTCCGCAGTCCGTCTCTCCTCTGTGGATCTGGGCAGTGTGGAGCCTCCACTCGCAGGCTACACGCTGAGGCAGATGGACAGAAGCCGTCTCCAGCCGCAGCCCCAGAGAGGCGGCCCTTCTCCAGAGTGACTCCAGAAGATTTGGCCTTCTTCAGAAAGGTCCTACCAGGCGGGACCATCACTGACCCAGACCTGCTGGAGTCGAGCAATGAAGACTGGCTCAAATCAGTGAGAGGTGATGATGAAGAGTTGAAATCAGCATCAGGACTTATTTTATTATACAAGTGACGTTACATAATATGTGTTTCTTCTGCAGGTTCCAGTGAAGTGTTGTTGAGACCTCAGACAACAGAGGAAGTTTCTCAAATTCTCAGGTAAATAACAGTGAGAAGTAGACTTGATACAAAAACAAGACATGTTTTTTTTAAGTATTTTTTTTATTTTCCCTGCTGCAGTTATTGTAACAGTCGTAACCTGGCAGTCAACACTCAGGGAGGCAACACTGGGCTGGTTTCAGGCAGCGTCCCAGTCTACGATGAGATCATCCTCTCCACTGCTCTCATGAACAACATCCTGAAGTTTGATAGCATCTCAGGTAGGTTCAAATTAACAAAATACTCACGTGGTCAATGAAGAAACATTTAGAAAATCAGTTATAAATGATTATTACTAACAGAAGCATGTTCCCTGTGTTAATAATCCTGATGTATGAAGCTGTAGACATTTCCAACATATAAAATAAGTTTACAGAGAACCACATTGTTGGATCTCTGTCTAAATAACTCCACACTTCACTCTCACTGAAGTAGATCAGTGGTTATCCAGGCGTACTACTGTGTATACATACGTACATATAAACACACTGACAGTCCTACAATCACAGTAAGAATTCTCCTTCACTTTGTTTCAGGTATTCTAACCTGCCAGGCAGGTTGTGTCTTGGAAAACTTGTCCCTCTACCTGGAGGACAGAGACTACATCATGCCACTGGATCTGGGGTCAAAAGGCAGCTGCCAAATTGGAGGCAACGTGGCAACAAATGCAGGCGGACTGCGGCTGCTGCGGTACGGCTCCTTACACGGGACCGTGCTGGGTCTGGAAGTGGTGAGTGGAGTAAACCACTGCGAGACTTTCTCCATCTTCAACACCAAGTCTGGTGATAAATCCATGGAGGAGAAGTGTGAGCTCTCAAGATTCTGATGATAAAGAATTGATTTAATGTGTTTTGATGTGTGTGACATGTACAGGTGTTGGCAGATGGGCGGGTGCTGGACTGTTTGACCACGCTGCGGAAAGATAACACCGGGTATGACCTCAAACAGCTGTTCATAGGGTCAGAGGGTACACTGGGGGTCATTACAGCCGTGTCGATTCTTTGTCCTCGGAAACCAAAATCTGTCAACGTGGTTTTCCTGGGTAGGTTATTTTTCTTCGTCACTCAGATTTGGAGGTAAAAACAGTGACTTTAATAATGTTAATGAATTTCTTCTTGTACATCACAGCTAAATCTAGTTACCTGTGTGTGTTTTTAGGCTGTGAGACCTTCGAGAAGCTACTGCAGACGTTTCAGCTCTGCAGAGGCATGCTGGGAGAAATCCTGTCAGCTTTTGAGTTCCTGGACAGTGAATGTATGAGGCTGCTGAACACGCACCTCAAAATACCTAATCCCATTTCTGGTAGGCGCACACACACACACACACACTCCCACTCCCACTCACACATAACAAAAAGTTTTCACAAAGTTGACGTACTAGATTTTTATGAGACCTTTCTGGAATGTTTATAAATGCTGATAAGTAAGGCATTAATTAGTCCCATATAAATATAATTGAGTGATAACATGGTTAACAAGCTTCATGTGCCATTTTCAAGTATATGTGTATTTATTAACAATCATAATCTTTATCCGTTGTGGATAAGGGAGGATTTGACTTAAAGTTTACAACCTCGTGTTAAAACTCTTTATTAGTGTTTTTATGTCACT